AAAAGAACCTGGATATAAGAAAGTATTTTTCAAAGAAACCTGTAAGTCACTTAAAGTCGAGTTCACTCATAAAACCTGTCCATCATAATAAAGTTACAGGCTATGCAAGGCAATACATGCCAACTCTCCCGTTTTTTCTCGGACAATCCCGGATTTCAGTGCCCCTCTTATTACTCTTTCTGGGTTGCAAAATAAACTTTGTTGTATGTAGCTGTGCAAACTTCAAATATCTGAACTGGGGAGAACAGCAAACTCCCGGCACATCGTTTTAGGCTTTGGCCCACATCAGTCTAAAATTGTATGTAACCATGAATAACGTGTTACCATGTCCACTAGGAGAGACTGGACAGTATAGATGTAAAACAAATATGCCAGCAGTTTATCTCAGTTAATGAGAGGAGAAGGCCTGTGTTTGGCTCCTTCACATAGTGGACACTGGGTTGTTGTGTGGGACACCAGTAGTCCATGTCTGTTGCTGTAACAGTAGTTCATGTTTAGAGTAAAACATCCCAGCTCACTGACTTGATAGGGGCAATAGTGTGCCTAAAATGTTGCATAATTTTGCTAAGAGATCTGTTACTTTGTGGTAATCTTAGATGAGTAGTTTTATGGGCAAAAACCACCAGGTCATTCAGTGTTCCCTTAGTGCTAATGTATCAGAGATGTTGGTGTAGTGTAACTGAAGAAATGTTGTTAAGTCCTTAAAGTCATATTATTTTATTGTCATGACTGTATTTTAAGCTATTTTTTTATTTTTGTATGATATCTGATTTATATGGAATATGGTTGAAGTAAACTAAAGTATAAAATACTTAGTCATTTGTTTAATAGTAATTTAACATTATATAATTCACATATAAAACTATGAATTGTAATTTTAAATGGTTTAAAATCATGTAGAATAGCATATGTAAGCAAGTATACCCCCCCTCCCCCCCTTTTTAAAAAAATTTTTTTTTATCAAGAAGCAAAGACGAAAAGGAAAAAAAGGGCTCGGTGGTTGAATCATCCGTCCCCACCACTGCCAAAACCAAATCTACCTTGTTAAGCTCACAGCCTTTGTTCAGTGTCCTCCTTCCTTCATTTAAATGCAAAGTACTGCAGAAGTAGCTAAAATATGCAAAGACTGAAGCCCTGGGAAGCGTTTGGAATTCTGGATGCAGTTGTGCAGCCTAATAGTGTCATCTAGTGGCATTGAGTAGTACTGCTAAACGCGACTGCGATTTGATACTTGTGGGTTATTTTTTTCATTCAGTATTGTCACTGCAGCTGTTGTAAGATCAACAGAGGTGGATTGATTAGAAAGAATCAAGAGTCAATGCTTAAAGTTTTATTAAAAGAAGGAAATCACAGACAAGCTGCTGTTAATCCACAGGTATACGGTGCATTCAGCTTATATTTTTGCATGGGTCTTACAATTCACAGTGAGTCAATTAATCTGTTTCCTCACTGCTTTTTTCTTCACACACCGGCTCGTCCTCAGCAACAAACCAGACCTCGTTGTGGCGGTTAAACATCCTCATTGGACTGCAAGAAACATGAAAGACCACACAGAAACACGGAACACAGGGACGCACACAGACACAGATTCACATTAGAATAATCAAGAAAATAGTTTAAACTGAAGCTGTTTTTGATGATTTCGTTCACATGTTTTTCTTCTAATGATGGAGATTACTTTACCTGTTGTATCCAACAGCACAGTGGGATCCTTTTTTGTATTTTGCTTTAACTGAATCAAGAGTTTTACTCAGGTCATTAGCATTACTGCTGTCAGAAAAGGTCGTCATCCATCCTCCGTAGCTATATGCATACACTTTCATATCTGGAGTGTCAGTGATGTACACCTGCAAATCATGATGAAACTATCTGTCATCAAATAATTTCCTATTAAATATTTGCCACTATTTTTTTAGTTTGAAAAACATACGTCTGAATTAGTAGGTTTGGGAGGATTTTCCTGATGTTCCGTCGGCAGCAGGAAACTCATTGTGTAGGTGCCCATTTGCCAAAATCTCTTGTCTGGTATTTTCACCACAACAGGACTGGTCATTTGAATTTTCTTTCCTGAATGCAAACACAAATATGTTTTTTGGGAACTGAAACAAACATCACAACGAAGAAGCACACAAAATGAAGAAAAGAATATAAAAACACGCAGGTTTTCTTACTAAAATATCCAATAAAACCACGAGACTACCACTGCTCCCTGAATATAACCAAATACAGTAATTATGTTTGGTCAAAGGCCATTTTAAATTTAGACGTGTCACGTGTTCAAAACTGGCTTAAAACCCTCACTATATATAGATTGTATTTTATGAACAGAAACTCCATTTACAAATAGCTGTTATCTGTGTTCATATACACGGGGTTAATAGAGTATTGAATGTGAAACACAATTAGATAAACACATACGCACCCATCTGGTTCTCACCACTGATGTATTTGAACAGTCGATTAAATGCTACTGGCATTGCCATTTCCATGAAGAAGGATTTCTCATTAGTTGAGACCCATTTCACAGAGTCATAGTGACGCACCTGAAATACATGAACAAACATATTTTAACTGGTGTTTTTATAACTTTGCTACACCTAAAATATGAAAAAAATATTTTACCTCATAATCCTTGGTCTTACAAATCAAATCGAATAGCAGGCACTCTGGTGTCTCAGTGCAGAAGCTTAACTCAGAGGAGTTGCTGTGAAGTTACAGAGGAAAATGCTTTTTAAAGAAGTTTTACAAGTCCATAGCAACAACTACCTGCGATAGGTATTGACTAAAACTGTGCTCACTATCTTCAGTTCAAATTCAGGTCTCTTACCCAACTCTAGCTTCAGCTGTTAGAACCAGAAGAAAACAAACAAGTCCTGAAACAAAAATCCTGAAAGGCACATTTAAAGTTGCTTTGCTTGTCTATTTGATTTACTTCTTACATTATATAGGGTTATTTGCTTTAAAGACCTTCTGGAAATTAAAATTGTACTTACATCTTGGCTGACTGTTGTCTGCTTTCAAAAATGGAATGTCTGCAGTCTTCTCCAGTGCTCTGCTTATAAAGAGCTGGTTATGAAAACTGACCACTCCCTAAAGCTAGAACACAAAACATCCAAAGGAGTAACAGAGGGAATACAAAACAGTAACAAGAGAATCTGGCAGGAATTATGTGCTGCTTAAATGTTATGAAACCTCTTTCATAACATCCAATAACATCTATCAAATTCAGATGATTAGGAGATGAAATATTATCTCTACTATTCTGTACCAGAGAGTTACACAGTACAGCATTTAACATAAGCCCTCAGAGTGGAGCTAATATTTTTCACTAATTTTATGCAACATCAGGTGAGGGTAAATTAGGCTAGTGTTAACAGTTTTGTAACACAGAACATCAGGAACATAAAATATAACAAAATAAGGATAATTAAATAAGTTTCAGATCCAGTGGCTAAACTTTGATATAAGTAAAATTACCTTTGCAATAATGATTAGTATTAAGTGGAATTAATATTAGGTTCAAACTTGAACAAATCGGATCCCAAGAGTGCCACAACAGTCTGTACAAATTGTGACTGAACAGCATGTGAAGCATTAGCTCAAATATTCAAAATGAATAGTTCTCATGCAGTATTATTTTCTTTCACATTGTGAAAAAATGTCTTAGGTTACCCCCTGGCACTGGTATACACATTTAAACAGAGACAAGGAAGTACCTGAGACATAATGATGAACCATATTAGTGTTCACGTCTCAAGAGAATTCACATTGTACCTTTTGTTGGTACAGATCGCGTGATATGTGTTTTGTACCCTCAGAACACCAAATTCTTCTTGCTTGTCCCCATTCGGTGTCATGCAACCTGAATACAACAGAAACTTGGATTTAAATGTTTGTCCTTTTGTTAAGAAAAAGAATACAAAAAAGAGAAAATCCTTAAACTTGAGTATTGAGTTAGTTGTTGGTCTTATTGTAAGTCTGCAGTTCTTGCTGGTTGACTGTTATGTAGCTACTGGGATACTTAATCCAACCCTTGTTCTTTCTAACTGTAAAGCAAATAAACATCTGTCATGCAAGAAGTAGTAATCCTAAACTGAACCCTTTTTCATCTTAATAGTGCCGTGAGCCCACAGTGCGCAGTGTGGTATTTCCTTCCTTTTACTAGTCTGAAAGGACCCATCTGGTTCTGCAGATGTGTAGAGTATATTCAAAGCATTTGAGCATGAAGGTTTTTTTGGGGGGGTTTTTACGTGTGTGTGCAAGCTGACTGGTTTGCCCAAGAGGAAATAGTCATTGCTATCATTCAAAGCAGTGTGAACCCTATAAATATTATAAAAAAAATAATATGATTTTATTCTTTTCAGGACCAATTCATGTAACTTGAAATAAATGTCTCCACTTCTAAACATGCACTTCCACGTTATTGTCTGTCATAGTTACCTCTTATAAATGTTAATGTAAACTTTAGGGTGAACCTCGCGCCAAATAACCTTTTCTTTTCACAGAAAAATACAAACTTTTACTAAACTAAACTCTAGGAATCCTTATTTATGATTTTCTTGTTTGTCATTCATGACAAGTAAGTTTATAATTTATAGACATAATGCCTTATAAATGTATGCTAAACTGACAGGAGTTGGAAAACCTCTCTTTGTAAAACTGTCCTTTAAATACTTATTAAGAGCACATTTCCTATTGTTATGCAACAGCTGAACGGTACAATGTTTTCCCCTGCCAGGGCAGAATATCAGAATATAGCACAAATGATTAACCTTACAGCGACATTACTTCACGTGACTGTATGTATATATGTATATACTCAGAAAGATATACAATTTTCTCTTTGCCTTGCCTGTGACACTGTGTTTTTGTCTGTGGGTAAAAACTTTTTTAAACACAGCCCTTCTACGCAAATACTCATATCCATCCATTGGATATTCTCAGCATTTGCACCTCAAATATAAACAGACATTAGACGAGATTCAGAAAAACTGCTTCATTGAAAAGAGTGATTTGAAACTAAGGAAAAAACACCAAGTATGTTGTGCAACTTCATAGATCCTGTAACACTAACACATTATTACTTCACCTTTTTGAGTCAGTTGCAGAACTATTTTCAGTAATGCGTACTGTAACCATTTCATTATAGCGGTAACCTCTGAAGCCTGTCGATGTAACCTCCAGCTCTGAGTTCAGGAAAACAAGTGTGACCTATAGTGGTTACAATGACGAACTGCAACAGCATTTTAAATAAGGGTATGAATGTGGTATTTTCCATGGACTACAACAGGAGACCTAGATCTCGTTTTACAGTAAACTTTGTTAACCATCGTTTTTTTAGAACATTTCGATTTACATTTATATAATTTATTAACATTTTTAAGGGCATAAGGCTGCTACAGGAGCAGCAACAACCACGGCGTGGCTGCTGTTTTCAACGGAGCTGCTGTTGTTGGCTAAAAAACTACAACACCCATGTACTGCGTCGGCCTGACTGACCTTAGATAATCACTGGGCTTATGTAGCCGTGTCCCAGTCTTGCCTCTGCTCTCCGAATGCTGCGCTACGAAGTTGAGTGAGCTACTAGTTTATTACTGTCTCTTTATTTCTCATATCCACTGTTGTGAAGAAAGCGCTGTTCGCTCCACAGGTTGGTATATTACAATATCAACTACAAAGAAAACTACATGCCTCTAGGGTTCGACTTGAATGTGGTTAACTCGTCCTGTAGGGATTTACAGCGTCTGCTGCAGGCTATCCATTCTGCAGTGATAGTTTATGTTGACTCACTACAAATTGTATACCAAGTACTTTGCTTTAGCACAGTGTACTTTATTAATTAGCATTGAACTGTTATAGTGTAATTATACTTAAATGTGTTACGGAAAAAATATTGTAATTTTTTATTTTAATAAATTTCTCTTGGGATGCCGTGAGACTTAATATATAACTACAAAGCAATACTATCTTTAAAAAAACAAACAAACCCTAATGTTAAGAATTATTACACTTGGTCTCTAAACGTGTTATTCTATTCTCTTCATAATACCGCTTCTTTAAAATAACTCTTTATAATATGTCCTTATGTGAATATCTGTTGGTTCCATTCTGAATAAAAAGGTGTTGGGCTTTGGTAAGGCAGACAAACATTCCAGCACACATTAAGCAGATTAGCGCCAATGTAATCTTTTAACAAATAACAAAGGCACTCTAGTCTTAATATCACTTCACATGGACACACAAGAAGTGACCTTTTGTTAAATTTTTTTTTTAAGTTAATCAGTAAATTGTCAACCAGTGCATTATGTGAGTGATCAGTTTTTGCTGTTTTATATATATATATACATACATACATATTAAAAAGAAGTATTTAACAGTAACATTTCTTCTTTTTATCCAATTCATGGTAAAAAAAAAAAAAAAAAACTCCAACTAAGCTAGATGTATATGCCAATAGAGTGATTACTACAAAGACTTTACATTGGCTGAAGAATATTCCTTTAATAATATCTTTAATAATATTTCTCTTTTCTCAACGTTGTTTGACTGACCAGTCAAGACCACCTGAACCTTTAGGTCAAAGATCAACGAGCATGGCAACCCGGAGGGTGCTGGTGACTGGGTGTTCTTCTGGCATTGGCTTGGCTGTGGCTGCACGGCTGGCCAAAGATGAACTGAGGCGGTTTAAAGGTCAGCTGATCAGTCCTTGCTTATAGTACAGGTAGGTGGTAGAAGTAACCATCATTGCTGACAGTCAGTGTGTTCCCTCTTTATCTGAGGCAGTGGTTGCCACCATGAGAGATCTTGGGAAACGGGGACCCTTGGAGAAAGCAGCAGGCGATTCCTTAAACAAAACCCTCGAAATCAAAGAGTTGGATGCCTGCTGTGAAACTTCCATCAAAGAATGTATTAACAGCTTGCCGAACAGACGGGTGGATGTTCTTGGTCTGTTTTTCCTCCATCTTGTAGATAAGCTTTAATTGGATTCAACATTTCTTTTTACAAGTATACAGTTTGAAAGCATAGTGTATTCTGTTGTTACAGTAAACAATGCTGGTGTTGGCATGATTGGGCCGCTGGAGTGCCAGAGTATCGATGCAATGAAGGAGCTGTTTGACACAAATTTCTTTGGCCTGGTGCGTCTGGTGAAAGAGGTGTTGCCTGACATGAAGCAGCGACAGAGTGGCCACATTGTGGTGATGAGCAGTGTCATGGGACTACAGGGTGTGTTTGTTTGTGCTGATAAAAAACTTCAGAACATGCATACAATGTAGAGAAAACTAAAAGCTAACATCTTTCATAATATTTCCAACCAGGACTTCTGTTCAACGATGTCTACTCTGCATCCAAATTTGCTGTGGAAGGATTTTGTGAAAGTCTGGCAGTGCAAGCAATGAAGTTTAACATCAAGTGATTACATGTCCTGAAACATACTACAGCATTAAAAATGCAGCCAGCCCACAACTAAAACTTGAGTTATCAGTAAGCCCACATTGGCAAAATATTAAAAACTTAATGAGTGTAAAGGGACAGTGGTCTTAATGTTATGTTTTTTTTATATCCTTGTTCAAAGGACAACTCTAGTAGAACCTGGCCCTGTGGTGACGGAGTTTGAAAGGAAAATGTACGAAAGTGCTGAGAAGATGGATCTATCAGGGACGGATGAAGAGACTGCCAGGATATTCAGGGAACTTTACCTTCCATACTCTAAAGAAATCTTTACTTCTTTAAGTCAGACACCAGAGGAAGTGGCTGAGGCAAGTGGTTAAAATTGTGTTTTTAAAGGTACGGTAAAATAACATGTTTTTTAGTGAAAATTTATGAATGGGCCTGAAGCTCGGTCCTCTCTGGCACAGAGAGGCTGCCGGGAGAGCCCGCGGGCACGCCACTACAACCCCCTCTGGCCTCTGCTCCGTAGCTGCTGGGTGACCTCTCGTTTGGGGCTCTACTCAGCTCTTCCCAGGAGGGTGGCACAGTTCCCCCCTTTTGGTGGTCCTCCTCGGGTCCTCGTACTCTGGGGCCTCTGGATATCTGGGGCCTGGATCTCCTCCATACCTGCTTCATGCCCTGGGGGA